GTAAAAAGTATTAAATATAGAATTTTCAAAATTTACTCCTCTATAATAAGTTGATATAATAAGATGCAAAGAACGCATACAACGTGCAGAGCCCTCTTACCTTAAAATGCCCTTGGGCAATAAAAGGAAATTGAAAATTTATGTATATATAACATTTATACATATATTGTATTTTGTAATCAAGAAATTCCTGGAGGGTAGGAAAAAAAAAAACTATAATAAGTGCCTGGTTTATTTTAAATAATAATATCCATAATAATTATTGTGAGTTATGCTCAAATAAAGTTTCTTTTTTTTTTAACCTTTTTTCGTAACTTTTCTGTGGGTGCTGAGAAATAATCTTGAATAGGACGGCTCAACTGAAGAAAATATGGAGTAACGACAAAAAAACGCCTTTGAGAAATAATATATAAAAATAACAGGCCGTACTGGCTTGCTTCAACTACCGAATGACATAATGATATAAACTTCGAAACAGAGAACGGAGTAAATGACAAATCATATTATAAGACAGTTTTGAACTAATATTTCTTTCTTTAGATTAGGCAGTTCAAGAAATTAGAAAAAGTGTTATGATATGTTTAAATAAAATTACCATTCGATGGACTTTCACCATTCCATGGACGTTCGCGACCATTCATTATTAGCTGGTCCTTTGTATTCCCTTTGATCACAGAGGCTATTTCTAGTCATGTGCAAGAAGTTTAATTAGTTGAATATAAACCGCAAGTACATCCTCCGATGGCCTCCATCAGCAGAGCAGGTGGCCTTCCGTACTGCGGGCTACCGCAAAGCCAATGGAAGCACATCCATCCGCCATGAAAGGAATCAGAAGCTGCGGTTATCTTGTTAGCCATTTTTAAGATGGATACTAACTGTAATTTTATTTATGGTCAGATAGGTGGTCTAATCAGTTTCTTTTTTTATATTTTAGAAAAAGTCACGAATCTAGTACTAGTGTATGCACACAAAGTTGAAGTTACCCTTCTTCAGTGGAGGTGAGGTGGTTAATATCTTCTCAACTACAACTAAATAAATAGTAGTCCAATATAGTCTATATAGCTATAGTAAACTAAATGTAGCCCATGGTAATACACTTTTGTAACCAGCATTCAGACAGCTGTTGAGTTCACACTGGAACCACTCCTTTGGACGACTACCGAAAAACTGTTGCTTCGTAATTTTAATCTCTCCAAATATATGAATCGTTTTCATTTGAAGAAAGTGGCCCAAGAAACGAAATAAACGACAATCTGATACGAATACTGGATTGTGTGGTGGGTGGGGCAAAACTTCGATCCTCATGAAGATTGTATTTTCCTTGGTCGGAATTAAATGTGTGACCGAGCGTTATCCTGCTGGAACCGAACACCTTTACGGTAGTTCAGAGCCCTTTTTATCAAATCATTAACATCCGGCTTAAACTTCTTGAATAACTTTATCTCATCGCAACCTACCTTTTTACTTTATTTACAAAAATTCTCGAAATTGTGGCATTCTCAATCTGGAGAGCGGCAAACTTTGTCTGGTTAATTGGGCACTAAAAACTCATGAGCACTCATTTACTTTCCACTTGAATCGTAAATAATTTGATGAAAAGTGGAATGCAAACGGGTATTTAAGAGTTTTTAGTACCTCATTAAATCAATTAATTTAATTAGAAAACCCCCGATTTCTGAGCATTTTCATATATAGAAAAATTGGATGCTAGGATGAGATGAAGCCATTCACGACGTTTTAGGTGGATTTTGATGCTTTAATAAAAAGATGTCTGTACCACAGACCATTAACCAAAAATAGGTAACGCTATGATAATTTTCATGCATCATGTTTGCAGCCAATTTAGAGTTCATAGAACGGCCTTCAGGGACATAGATATCTCCTAATGGTTGTTCTCAGCGCTTCCTCCGTTTACAGAAAATATCTTCACCGTTGGATTTTTCAAACAAACGCCGCTATGTACGAAGGTCAAACACATCTTCATCAACACTTGAAATAATTTTACATATTTCTTCAACCTCCGTAATTTGTAGGTTTTTCAATATTGCCTTAATATTACGATTTTACTAGCACGGTGGCATATATTTATGTTTTATTGGTTCACTTTTTGTAGGTTTAAATGCATAATTGAATTTATGATAAAATGATCGTTTCCTTTATACACTCCATAATTTTTCACACATAAAAGATCTCGATGTCTTTATTAAGAGCTTTTAAAACAATAAATGAGATAAAAATTCACAAATGTATACTTAAAAGTTACAATGTTATATTAGTTCAGGATTTAACTAGAATCTACAATACATTTTTTTAAGAATACAATATTTAAATTAGGTTTAATCCAAGGTTACATCAAACCTCAACCAAGCAACTAGCCCTTTAAAATATTTGTTTATATATATACTACTCTGATTCATTAAAAACCTGTAGCACTAAGTAGCGCTCAAGCCGAACGGTTTCCTCCTCAATTAATTACTTAATTAAAAGTTCACAAATGATATGCCCCAAGAGGATCGACCGATCGAAGGCTGGATCTTTGGCTGTCACAGAATAAAAAATTACCTTCTACTCGCATTCGCGACCCGGTGCATATTGTCTCAATCACTCAGCTAACACGATCTCTGATACAGTTTTAAATCTAAATAATTTTTTTTAATGTAATTAAAATGTTTATTATTTATATGTTATTGTTTATTATTTGTATGTTATTTAAACGTTTATTTATTAAAATGTATATTATTTAAGGGAAATAACCCTATTTATCCGAAAAGCTATTTATGGAGGGAACATGTTGGTAGATAGTTAGTAGAGTTCATCTTTATTTAAGATTAAAACTTAGTGTAGTATTCGGGTGCTCTCTACCTTCGCGATGCTGTAGACTTCCATATGTTACAAGCGCAGTTGCTTACTCATTGAATCTCCCTGTCCTACTTCGATTCAATAGATATAATTTTTCTACATTAATCCTTTTCTTATTTATTCTATTTATATTTATGAAAATTCGCCACCATAACTATGCTCTGACTCTTGTCCACCAGAATTGGAATCCACATAGATTGTGGACCGGACCTTCCCATTCAACAGTCGAAGCACGTCCAGCATTGTCTGCCGTTCGCCAGCTCGCTCTCCTTTTCATCTCTCCTTTCTTCTTCCTCTCCAGGATTGGGTATAAAAAATAAAATAAAAAAATGACAAAAAAATGTTCTTTCAGTGGAAGAAAAAGTTCAAGTTCAAATCGAATTCCCCCTTTCAACTATGAACAATTCATGTGTGGTTTATTTTTATTTATAACCAACTTCCAACCCCCTCGATAAACCACTTCGTTACTTAGACCTTGATTCGGCCTCGAAAAGAATTGTCTGTACAGAAATAAATAAGAATTTTTGGCTTTAACCTTGTAATGATAAAAATATGTGAAAGTATTAATAATAAAATCAATTTTTATATTCTATATTCAATCATATTGATTATTCGTCCTGATAACTATAAAATATGCATTTTTCATCTATTAATACATTTTCTTGGTAACACATTTTAGAACATAATTTAAAAAGTCGTTAAACTATTTTTTTCTAAGTTCTTTATTTGCTTACAAAAAAACCAAATCAGAGTTGCTCTAAACTAAATAGTTACTATGCTATCTTCTCATGTCGTACATTACAGGAACATTTTGGTAGTAATTATTTACCCTTGTAGTATTTATTTCTATTTATAAATATAGGTTTTAAGATACAATAATTTTTAGACTAGAAACAGTTTTCTATTACTCAGATTACAATTTAAAACTTGTAGCAATAGAAAAATATAAACACGCAAGTTTACAATCCTCTAGATACTAGATCTGTGTACTCTAATTCGATGTAAAATTTTAAGTATTCAATTTGTGAGATTGTAACTTAATTTCAGAAGGTTCATGAAGGAGGTAGAATAAAACTGATCGAACGCAAGGAATTTGAGGTTATTGTTTAAGCTTCCATTACTCCATAGATATTGCCAAACCAGATTCGAGCAGAATGTCCTACGATTCTTTTTTTACTATTAACCCAAGCAATTGTGGAAGAACTCCAATGTGTTTGGTAAGAGTTCTTACGACAGGATAGGACGCCGAAGCCCAATTACCCCCACCTACAGGACCGGGCCTAATGATGATGAATATACCTGGCATCCTCTGAGATTACCGGTCGGCGCTCTAATACCTCCCATGTTCTACGGTTCTTCATTTTTAAAGGGAAAAAAAATTCTTGTTCCCCTTTCTGCATTTTCGAATTCTGTCGGCACAAGGTCTATAAATTGTACAAGTAATAGATGCAACTGGTAACTCAATAGGTAAAGTGGAAAAAATAAAAATGATTTCATCTAAATATAATCCTCTTTTAACGAAAACAAGTATTTACTTTCGCGGATTTCGTAAGTAATGTTATAATATACGTAACAACCGGTTATAATATACAGTCTGTATGGTAGACTACGTTTTTTTGCCATATTAATAAATTTAAAAGAGTAAATACGGATATCTTGGTCTTTTTTTAACATGTAAAACTTTTACTACATTGATTCGTAAACCTCCCTCCTCCTGCCGTCGCACTGCATTTGTGATGGACTTGATTTTATTTTTTTCAAATTATTTATCTATAGTTCCTTAAAAAATCATGATAGATAAAGGACGTTACAAGAAGTTGATCACCCGCAGTTGGCAGGTCTCTGGTCGGTCTAACAACGGTCCTGACGAGGCTAATACATCACCTACTGTGGAGCTCCCGAAGACAAGTCATCCTGCCTGATGAAAGAAACTGTCTTAGATGTTTTTTATTATTTTATATGATGAAGTTAAATATTTCAATGCTCGAGTGTTTATTTGTTTCTTTTACTTTAAATTGTACAAAACTTCTAATATTTTATATACTATATTGATTTAAAGATGTATCAAATTATTCTGGTATTCATATTCTTCTGATATTATTCATTTCTTGTCATTAATATATTTGTTTTTTCTGTTTCAGTTGCAGACATTTATGCCATTGGTTCATTACAACTGTTCACGACACCTTCGATTCTTCTTGTGTTCAGTATTCGTACCATTCTGTTCAGAACACGTCGTGGGAGCCATACCTTCCTGCCGTGGCCTCTGTGAAGAAGTGCAGTCTGACTGTCGCCCTGTAATGGAGAGCTTTCATCTTCCATGGCCTTCGCAGTTCAACTGCTCACAATTTCCGATGGCAGAAAAAAACGGTTTATGCATGCAGTTTCCCAATGTCAGCTCCGACAAGAAGGCGTCATCAGAAAATCTAGAGGCCTGCCCTAAGGACTATACTTATACAAAAGATCCTCGTGGAACCAGGTGTAGTCCGATATGTGGCAGAAATGTTCATTTTACTGCAGAAGAAAAGCGCTTTACTGAAAGATGGAATACTGGCTGGGCTTGGTTATGCTTCGTTTCTACCCTCTTTACTCTGCTGACATTCTGGGTTGAACCAAGAAGGTTTAGGTACCCCGAACGGCCAATTGTATTCTTGGCACTTTGTTACAATGCTATGTCAGTTGTATACATCGTTCGAGGTGCGACAGGGACTTACATCTCATGTGTTCCACCTACTGAAGGGTACGAATCATATGTAGCAACTGATGGTCTGGAGAGTGCCTCTTGTACAGTTACATTTTTAGTATTATATTACTGCGGCCTCTCTGGCAGTGTCTGGTGGGTGATCCTCGCCACTTCCTGGTACCTTTCAGCGGCCAAGAGGTGGAGCTGCGAGGCACTCTACGGATTGGCTACATATTTCCACATGGCAGCCTGGGCAGGGCCCGCAGTCACCGCCCTCCTTGCCCTTGCTCTCCATAGGGTTTCTGGAGATGAGTTAACTGGGCTTTGCCGTGTTTCTGAGGATTCCACGGTCTGGCTGGACGTTCTGCCGCATGGAGTGATGCTAGTAGCTGGATCCATTGTCGGAGTGTTTGGTGCTATCGCTTTAATTAACGTCCGTGGAGAGATCCTAAAGTCAGGAGGTAGTGCTGCAAAACTGGAACGGCTCATGACTAGGCTAGCGGTGTTCACAGCTCTGTATGTCTTTCCAGCTCTGGGGTCTCTGTTCTGCCTCCTGTATGAGACGTTCCACAACCCTGGAGATCTCAAGTGTGCAGGAGATGATTGTTCACCACCTCCTCACAACTCTAATGTTGAAGTTACTTTGCTACGCGTTTTCCTTTCCCTTGTTATTGGTATATCTTCTGGAATGTGGGTATGGAGTGGCAAAACTTGTCGAGCATGGAAGAGGATTTTTACTCCACCTCATAAACCACAGCCAGTTCCTTTAACCAGAGTATGATATTTTTTTTTACTCTAAAATATCATCACCATCATCAATAAATGTTCTTCACTTAAATATTGTTTCATAGTAAATCATTTTCATTTAGAATATTTTCTGATTTGTAAAGATAATAGCTATATTAACTTAATCTTTGTAAATCTCTTGTTTATTAAATGTTCTAAAAATCAGCATGTCACTAAAAAATTCCAATGATAATGGTCTGCACTAAATAATTAATTTTAAGGATTACAAATGTCTATTGTAGTTATAAAATCCTTGTGTCTTTCATTAGATGTAAATTACAACATATGTGAACTGATGTATATAATCATATTGTAAATTTTGATTTATGTAAATATTTTATGTACAAGTTTATTCAATTATTGCCAAATTATGGATAAAAAAGCTCTCTGGCTTGGTATTAAAAAAAAAAAAAAACTGGATCAAGTTATTTGATACTTATGAAACTGGTATTTAGACACCTCTCATTAGATGGAAATAAGTTATAAGGGAATATGAAAAGTATTATTTAACTATGAAAATGACTTAAAAGTGCACTACTCAAGAATTTTAATTTTGAATGATATCTAAAATTAAAAAAAAAAAATATGAGCATTGGCCATTATTTAACTCCAAGCCACAGAGATACCAATGGCAGATTGTAAATAATAAAAATATATTTACAAATTATCACAGTAACAGTGTTAAAATATGTACTATATTTTTTAATTTTTTCTGACAGTAGTTAATGTTTTCTTAAATGAAACCCTGTATATTTTGTAATTATGTGTAATATAACATTTTCTGTATATATTTGAATTAGTATGTAATCACCAATAAAAATGTGAAAATTGGAGTAGCTTTAATTAAATTATTTTGATGTTTCTTTCACGAGATGACAAACTATGCTGTACAAAACAGAATACTTTTCTTGTATAATAGCTACATCACATATAACCAATGGGTTAAATATCAACATTATGTACATATAATTTTAGGTTTATTCTAATGCTGAAAATTGACTTTAAAACAAGATTGTTATGACATTAATACCTAACAATGTATTTTAAATCATTAGTCTTATTAATAGTTTCATTTTAATGGATCAAACTCTCAGAAGTTATATTTTCAAAGAAGATATTTTAACTTTATTTACATAATTAAAAGAATTTAAGTTATATTTAATACATGTATATTGTAAATTTATTCTAATGATACAAATGTAAATTTTAAATTTGAAAAAAAATAAATTGTCAGATACATAAAAGTCAAAGGGATCATCAGTTTATTTACAACTAATAGACTGAATGAAGTTAGCTACAATCGCTATCAACAAAAATCAACAATTTTATGTTATTTATTTTTAATAAACTGTCTATAAGAATTATTATTCTATTTTTTTTTTTTTTTTCTTTTATTCCCTATTGAAAAAGAGCCAATTTTTATTAACAATTAATTTAAATAACAGTATAATATAATGAAAACTAGTTTCTTTTTCAAAGTTGCAATAAGAGTTGCTAAGGTAAATATAAATTTATATGTGTATATTAGCAGCAAAATTTCTTCAATCGACCTTTGAATATTATATCTTAACATAATTATTTAAATTGGGAATTAGGTCACTAAATTATTATTCAATAAACTACTAAATGTCCATTATTCGATGTTTCGATCCCGGTTTTTTATGCTAACAATGAAATTCTCTTCAATGTTTTAAAATAGAGCCTCGATACCTCAGGCCAGGGACACACCGACAGCCTCAGTACCGTCCATTAACACAAATATTAAGTAGCTACTTAATCGAGGCACTATTTTAAAACATTAAAGAGGATCTCATTCTTAGCATAAACAAACAGGATCGAAACGTTGAGTAAACAACAGGACAAATGAACATCTTGCAGTTCATTGAATTATAATTAAGTGACCTAATTCCCAATTTAAATAATTATGTTGATATATATATTTTACATAAAATAAATTTAAGATTAACAAGTATGGCTAGATTTAACATACCTGAAAACACACTCAGGAGGCTCAAAAGAAGCTGGATGAGGGATTTCCTCGTTTAAAAATATGCTGAATTCAAGATAGGAAGGGATGCCGCTGGTCATTTCTACCACTCACGTCTATCGAGCCACTATCTGTACTCTTACCGACGCAGACCCACTAATTCTCATTGCTTATGACAGTGTTTTTGACTCTATGGATCACACTGTAAATAAGCTTCTCAAATTATGAATGATTATTATATTCATTACCATTATATCTGCATAAGAAATTACTAGTTAAATTCACGCCATAGAAAAAATGTATTTTCCTGGTTAAATATTTGAAGTAGGCAGCTTCATCATGTACAAAGTTACTTCTCTTGCCAAGTTTTTTTTATAATATAGCTGGTAACCTTTAAGAAATTAATCAAGTCAATAGAGGTATTTGTTGGATAAACTAATTTTAGTTGAGTCGTATCTGACTTCAGTAGCGTTTTGTGAAGATTGATAATTTCATTTATCTTAAACAGCTTACAGATGTCTCAATATGGATTCATAAATCTATATAAGTAAAACATAGTAAAAGAAAACATTGCTTCCTTTACAACATGATGGTTGCTACTGTCCAAAACCCAAAAGACTACACAGATCTCAACACTTTCTCTGGGGCTGGGTAAGATGTGTCTTAAAGATGACACGGTGTAAAGACTACCTACCTTTCTCCAATCCTATAAAGTTTCAATAGAGAAATGATTCACTTTAATAAGAAGAATTACATTATATTTAATTAATAATATACATATTATGATTTCTAACTTCAGCATTCAATCAATAAAATGATGAACTTGATTTGACAGTAGCAGTTGATTTAATCCATGCACAAGATGCCATTTATTATTTTAGTTATATAAACAACAAACTAATTTAATCAAAGAGCTAAGGAAAAATGGATGGAGAATTAAATGTTCCAATGCATTAAACTATGCAATAAATAGTAACTAACAAATAAATAGTAATTTACTGGCTACCCTATAAAGTTTCAATAGAGAAATAATTCACTTTAATAAGAATTACATTATATTTAATTTAAAAAATTAATAATATATATATTATGATTTCTAACTTCAGCATTCAATCAACCAAATGGTGAACTTGATTTGACAGTAGCAGTTGATTTAATCCACGCATAAGATGCCATTGATTATTTTAGTTAGATAAACAACAAACTAATTTAGTTAAACAACTATGGAAAAATGGATGGAGAATTAAATGTCCCAATGCATTAAACTATGCTCAAATAAATAGTAAATTACTGGCTACCAACAGAAAACCCCAGTTGCAACTTAAGGTTCCTAATACTTAAAAGATGATCACAAAATTTTATTTTCAATTTGGTCCAACCAGAGCCCAATAAATCAAGTGCTCATACCTCTTGAAAGTAAAGCAAGTTATTACACCTATAAAAATGTTTATTAAGAAAGTAAATAAATTATAAAATAATGCATTTATTGAACATTAAACAAAAACAAAACAGAAAAAAAAATTGCTTTGGGCTCATAAGTAACATATCGGCCCAAAAATGTTCACATTCAGGGAATGAAAGAGAGATTAATTAACTTCAACACAGTTACATCTGTGTCTTACAGATAAAGAAGTTTAATTCTAGCCTCAGTAATAAATTTAAAAACTTCAATTTATGGTACCAGTAGTGCTTTATTCCAGTTTAAAGAAAAATGCTATCCAGTAAACTTTAAATTGTTTAAAAATATGCATGCATATGTGTCTTCTTCTAGTGATAACAAATTAAAACAGAATATTGTAAATATTGGATTAAATATTTTTTAGAATTTTTGAAATTGAAAGAAACTAGTATCAGTAAGTGAATTAATATCTTTACAATATTATTTTGTATTATATATTATTGATGTAAGTTATATAAAATAACATATTAATGACTTTTTGAACTTTTAACTAATGTTCTGTTCTATCAATATGTCATGTAAAATTGTTACATAAAAGTCCTTATAAAATCCAATAGTTCTCCATATACCCAAAGTTGGGCTAGATTTTTCGCCAGGAGAGGCTTGTGCCACCTCAAAATAGTAGTCAAAATTATATAACAATATTTTAAGTAATTTAATTTAAAATATTGTCATCCCATAACACTAATTCCATTTCATTGAATGAAACTGAAAACAACCAAAAACTAGAAAAAATATTTTTACTTTAGCAAAAAAATATCACTTAAAATTATCTGCTCAGGACAAAGTCTACCTTAGTATTGACCCTGCCCCTAAGTCATTCCTGAAATGAAAAAAATGTTTACAGCTCATGTCTTTAGCCAAAGATTGTTTAAATAATATGAAGAGCTTTATGATAAAAGGGGGGAGGGAATTAAATTTAGTACAAAGATGTTTAGGTTCAGAACTAAAATCGATATCCATCCATGGATGGCTCTTGTTGTTAATGCAGTTACCATTAAACAGCATTAATTTTCTGTTACTATTACAGAAAGTACTATTATTATACTACTATACTATAATGGTTGTCAAAACACATGGTGAGCATGCTCTTCGTAAATACACAGCGCTTTGAGTTATTAAAAAAAGCTGTCTTTCCTTATGTATGATTGAAAGCCTTAGGAAAGGTGCAGGTGAGAAAATTGAAAACAACCTTCGAAATGCTGCTCACTAGTTAAAAAAGAAAGCCATTTCTCCATTGAATTGTGACAGGTGATAAAAACAGGATATATTTTGAGAATCCTAAGCATCAACAACTTAAGTAACACCAAGTAAACTATCAATATCAATTGCAAGGCCAAGTCACTCCTATGTCTGGTCAGGATCAGTGCCTCCAGTATTCTGACAGGCCTTACATATCTGAGAGATGAGGGAGAGAAAGTAGATTTATTTAAATATTTCTATTTTTATTTTTAATTATATAGGTAAGGCAATATATTATGTATAAAGAGGAAAAAATTAGCCAGGAATTGGGAAGTGACCTAACATTCACACATCCCTTCACCCAGAGTATTAATTAAAACAAATGACGTATTTATCATGTTTCTCAATGAATGCTATAAATATAAAAAAAAAAGCTTGTGTTAAAAAAATAAATTTATTTATAAATAAATTGTAGGAAAAAGATACATAGAAGCAATATATTCATAAAAGAATTATGAAAATAGTATTGATACATACAGTGCTTTACACAAATAGAAAAAATTTAATTCAGATTATTTAAGTAGCTGTAACTATTATATCAACAAAAAATATTGCACTGATAGAATTATATAAAAATATCTTAAAACAATCTTAGAAGTATGTTGTTCATTACTGGATCTAGAGAAATACAAAGTTCTTAACAAACAACTTCTTATTTATAATTATCTACAATTTAAATATAAAACTAAATGTTATACATACTTGCATAAGTTTGTATTATATTTAGAGGATAACTAATTTATAAAATTAATGACTAGAAAATCACTTGAGAAAAATATTGCATAACATAAATTATTAAGTATTTTCTTAATAAATAATCACTCTTTTTTACAAACACTTCATCAAAAATAAAATTAAATATAGGATACAAAGGAACTATATACAATAAAATATGTAACAATTTAACAGGTACAATTCAATAAAAGTTAAAACTAACTTCTAATCTCCCTCACAACTATGATTTTTGAAATCATCAGCTTCGCTAAAGTCTTTGCTACATGATGTACAATTAAATGTTATACTTCCTTTCACATGTAATTTTTCGTGATGATTTATAATGGAGCGAGGAAACCATTTCCTGCAGTACTGGCACACAGTCATCCTTTCTTTTTTCCTAAAGTTTGTTAAATGAATAATTAAACAATCTCCTTAAACTCAGTAAACATTCTTCTTAAAACCTAAATGCTATAGACAGAAAAGTTACATCAAAGATATTTCTTCCTATGCATAAACTTGATTTTTTAAGTATTTAAAATTTTTAACATCCTTTGTTTTTTTTTTTGCCATACCCTTCATAGGAAATTTAAATGAAATAACAAGATATAATAAATGATCACAAAACATTGAGAATAGATACCTTAGACGGAATAGAGATATTCCATTTTATACAGGATAAGTGGCTAAACTGCAAAAATAAACTAAGGATCTTGAAACAAGAAAAAAATGTTCTCTGAAGATATGTCCGCAAACAGTGTTTGTTTGTTTGTTTAGGAGATAATCACACCTTAAAATTTTCATCATTTTGAATTATTTACGTAATATGAAATAAATAAAACCTATTCATTTGTTCTAACTACTTTATTAATTAAATGTAAACATTAACATTCATATTAAATGTTGTTCAAAGTGAAGGTATGTCCGCAAACGCTTTGTTTAGGAGATGGATTAGATAAAATA